CCCCCGCGTTCGCCGCCGCCGCCGCCAACCAGGCCGCGATGGCGGCCGCCGGCAGCGGCTACCTGGTCGGCGCGCCGCCGGGCGCGGCGGCGGCGGCGATGGCGGCGGCGGCGGCGGCCGCCGCCGCGGCCGGGAGCCCTACGAGCTCGGCCGGCCTGCAGGTTTGTGTGCGTGTGTGTGCGCGTCATATTGCCCTTGCCCGTGGCTGCCGCGGTCCGTTCGCAGCTGCATGTGTAGAGTGAGATCTTCGTGCCAGCAAACGCACCCGCCCCCTGCCCTCGTCGCGTCAGCGCCGGCTCCGGCCCGCGGCCGCGCGGCCGGGCGCTCGCGTCTGTTGCCCATGACGCCCCTATGACGTCATCATGCGCCGCGAGGCCCCGCGCCCTCGGCTACACCAGCCCCGGTATTCCGCACTACTGACAGGCGCTGCAATCACCTCACACCAACATATGCACCGAAAAACGTGGAATTGCGGCACGCCGCCAAGCAGAAGCGCGGCAGGCACCTTCGGTGCACTCGGTCCTAACAAACCGACCACCACCTACGCCCTCCCCTCCCCTCATTCGCAACTTTTCCTCCCTCTCAATCTTCACGGATGCACCACAACATCTCTGTTTTCCTTTCCCTCTCTCACTCGCACATGCACGCCTGGACCCACATACACGCGTCGATTCTCTCACACCCAACGCACGCGCTCATCCCCGCGCCAGGATGACGTGCGCACCATCTTCATAAGCGGATTCCCTGCGGATGTGCGGGACCGCGAGCTGCACAACATGCTGCGGTACGTCCCGGGCTACGAGGCATGCCAGATGAACTGGAAGACGGGGCAGCCGCAGGTGGGGGCGGCGACAGGGGCATGTTTGTGTGCATGCAGGCCTGTGTGTGTGTGCATGCATGTGTGTTTGTGTTTGGGTGCTTTCGTGCGAGAGAGAATGTGTGCACGGGTGAGAGGAGAGAATTTGAGGGAGGGTGAGTTTGTGGATGCGTGTGCGCTTGTGCATGTGTGTCCATATGCATGTGCATGCGTTCATGTGCATGCGTCCATGTGCATGTGCTCGCATGTTGCTGTGGATGCGTGCATTGACGGCGCACGCATGCATAAGCTTCTGTGCCTGCATGCACGCGTGTCTGCATGCTCATGCCTGCATGCGTGCGCCGCAAACTGCGCGCGCGCACGCGCATGCCCACGCACTGTTCTCCAGCCGGCAATCCTCCACGCCCCGACGCAGCCCTATCACCCGTTGGGCCCAACCCGTCCCCTGCCCTCTGCTGGCCTCCGTCCTCTTTGCCGCGCAGGGCTTTGCGCTATTCAACTCCCCGACTGCCGCGCGCTTCGCGGCGGACCTCGTCAGCGGCGCCCAGTTTGACGACCAGTCCACCCTCAGGGCGGAGATGGCGCGCAAAAACATGTACCTCAAGGTGCGGGAGGCCCGGGCAGCTTCCGGGCAGCTGCATGGCAGGGTTCAGGGCGTGAACGCAGCGGCCGGGCGCGAGCTATGGCGTCTGGCCGGCCGGCGGCCAAGGCGTGAAGGCTGCCTGTTTTTACCCGCATCATATCGCGGAGGCAACGGCCGGATCGCCTGGCGCGGTGGCAAACAGCGTCCGCTGCGAGAGGCGCGCCGCCGCCGCCGCTGCGGGGCTGAAGCACCGCTGGCATCCCCTCACAGCCGCGCCGCCTCACCGCCCCACGCAACCCTCGACGCGTCCCTCCCACCAGCTGGACGACCCCTCAGTCAAGCGCAGCTCCCGCCCCAGCCCCCTCATGACGCCCCTCGTCCCCGTCACCACCGCCGCGCCGCTGCCCGTCCCCGCGTCGCCACAGTCCGCCGGCCCCGGCGGCGCCGGCGGCGCGGGCGGCGCGGGGATGGGGGGGCTGTTTGCGTCGCCGCTGGGCAGCCCGACGGGTGTGCTGCCGATGCACCTGGCAGGCCCCCTGCGGCCGGCGAGCTTCAGCCCGGTGACCAACCTGCGGGACAACCCGCCCTGCAACACGCTATTCATGTGAGTGTGGTGTATGAGAAATTCTCACCCGGGCGGGGAAGAGGGGCGGCTGGGGGTGCGTGGGAGAAAGAGTGAGGTGGCCGCGCGCAGAGGGCGGCGGAAACAGTGATGGCGCCAAGCCCGCCGCTCTCCAGGGGTGGTTCGCCCCGGCGCCGCGCCGGGGAACGACCACTTGCCCGCCCGCGTGGCCTTGCGGCGGCCGCACATGCATTCCACCCAAAACACATGCACACACCCCACGCAAACGCACGCTCACCACGCTCACCACGCCCCCCCCCCCAGCGGCAACCTGGGGGACAATGTGAACGAGGCCGAGCTCCGCGCCCTGATGAGCAGCCAGCCCGGGTACAGGTGCGGCGCATCCCCTCTTGCACACACACCATGCATCCGCAGCCGGGCGGACGGGTGATATTCCCCCTGCGGTCCCTCCCTCTCCCATGGCGCGCCTTGCGCCTGCTGGGGCCGTGCCGTGGGCGGCCCCTGCGCGGTCAACCCCTGCGCTGCCCGCTCTCAATCGCACCCGTGGCCCACAGACCTCGCTCTTGCGACCTTGACAGGGTTTGACCCCTTTGACCGCTTGAACCCCCCCTGCAGGCAGATGAAGGTGGTCAAGGGCCCCCGCAGCACCACGGCCTTTGTGGAGTTTTCGGACGTCGCCAGCGCCATGCTCGTGCACCAGACGCTGCAGGTGGGCTTGCGGGAGCGCGGCACGCCTTGAGCACGGCAAGGGGCCGCCGCGGTAGAGGCCACAACCCTCGGGGTGGGGCCGCAGCCTGGGGGCCGCTGCGCCGCCGCGCGCGAAGCACTGCCGCCGCCGCCGCTGCCGCCACGCGTTGCGGGCGGGGCCTGCAGCGCACGCTCGGGCCGCCGCGGCCGCCGCCGTCCCTCCGGGCCGGCCGCGCCTCTCCCCCCCCCCCCGCCCTTGAGTAGTGTTACCGGGAAAACCTCCTTTTGTTGAATCGGATGCCCACCCTCGTGTGCCCGCAGGGGGCGGTGCTCCAGTCGTCTGAACGCGGCGGCGTCCGCATCCAGTACTCCAAGAACCCCTTTGGCCGCCGCGACGAGGCCGGCAGCGACGCCGGCGGCAGCGCCGGCGGCAGCGGCAGCGGCGGCGGCGCCGCGGCCGGGCC